CCAACGTTGAAATCACGAATGAGGTTAATGGGCTTAAATTTACAGGTACAAAAGTAGCATGACTTTTGTGCTTGTATGCTTGGCATTAAACAATTTTATTAGACAATCTATGGAGTCTTGACCGAGTTCTTGCTTTATTGTTACCCCGCAAGATATAGCGGAATATGAATCGTGTTGGCGAATAAAATTGAAATATCAGTACAGATAGCTTTATTAAATTGGTTTAGTTTCTTTAGATTACATACAAATTTTGGACATATTAACAATATTGTACGTTTTATACATATCATTATTTTGGAATGGCCTTTAGTAATCGATTTTCTAACAAAGTTGTTATAAGTTTTTGCACAGCAACTCTGTTATTACTTATTCATGACTTGGACCGTTGAACTTAGCTTGTGACGAAATCGGCCGGGAGTTGGCCAATAAATGGGAATATAAAATAATGTAAGCATTTTGTCACGCGAATAAGAGTTTTATTCCTAAAGCGATTAAGCTCAAAATTCAATAACAGCACTGAGTTCAGTTTACACCTGTCTCGTGGGAGCAAAGAACTTTAATCTAGGTCCTTGAATTGCTAGCGATTTGAGATTAACAATTTAATTTAGGATTCCAACATAAATTAGTGTTGTATTTGTTAAGGAAGTAGACACCTTGTTAATTTACTGAACGCCTAAGCTGTAAGGCCGGATTTCATTGTTGATATTTTTGACAGATTTCGCTTGAACATTTATAATCTTGATCTCTCGGTTGTTACGAAGTTGGAACGCAGAAGTCAGGGAAGGCGTTGTTAATAATTTAACAAATGTCGCGGCATAAATCTTAATGCCACATTGGGTTGGTCCGTTTTAGCGCTCCACTTTCGCACTAATTTATCACGACTATGGGAATGCTATTTTCATTTCATACACACAAGTCCGACAGATGAAACATAACAGCACGTATCTATATAAAATGCATAGTGTCGATGTAGAACAATCTAAAAGAAAACTCAATGTCGAAGAAGCGGTCGATAGCTAATCTTACTTCTTCTTGATGTTATGATTGTGAAAGTTTGGATAGATGGATGTTTGTTACAGTTTGTAGCCTAAACGACTGATCGGATCTCTATGAAGTTTGGCATAGACGTAGAGGACAGTCTGGAAGAATATGTAGGCTACTCCCTTTTTTAATTCCAAGCGGAGAAAGCCATTAAATGATATTTCTAAGCTAAATGCTACGTCTTCAAAAGCCACATTTAATGGATGTATTGCTTTGCTTTATAGCGCAAATGAAACAAAGATCCCCGTTAGCTTTGCAAATAGCGGGGAGGATGCGGAAGTGAGCTCGCCGAGATGATGCATATTAAACTGTTTCTGATTGTTTCGAAACTATTATAACGCAACAATGACTATGGAGATAGATCGCCTGGATGTGGTATTTTATTGCACGCTTGTGTTATTTTGTGTGTAACTTATTGGCAAAAATATTTAGATGTATTAAATTACCTATTTTATTTATAATTCTTATTAGATTTATTTTAAAAAATAAACCTATTCAATTACTTAACTCGTGTGCCTTGTGGGTTTGTATACGAATTTCTACTATGGTCTACTACTTTAAGATTCTGACAGACAAATAATAATTGCAATATATATTTCCTGGTTCATGGATTGTCCTATTACATATATAGATCAATATCTTTGCACAGCTTTATATTTACGACTGCCTATTCTACATTTTCTATGCAAGTATTCTTGCTTCTCTGTAGCAAGGCTCTTATTGATCTTCCCCATTACATCGGTACGTGCGCGAGTGTTCAGACAATGGTCTATAGCAGCCGCTTCGGTATTACAATACAAATTCCTTGCTAAATTATAGTTTTCCTATTCGTATTCTTACGTTTTCATTACAACGCCCAGTTATAGATTTGCATTGGTCCTTGGATACAATAGGTACTTTATTTCAATATTGAAAAGTCTCTGAAAATGTTCAATTAGTCAAGCTGGAATTTAACCTAAGCAATATTCAATTTATTTGTACTATGTTGAATAATCTTGTTAATCTTTAGTTAAAGTACAGTTTTATAGTTTTTAGCTCTAGTTCTTGCGAGATCAATTCGTGAAATTTCATTATATGCTGTCTCTTCAATTATCTATTTTGTATTATGAAATCACTAGTTTTTGTCCGCGACTCCGTCCGCGTGGAGTTAAAAAAAAGTAAGTAATTTACGTGTTCTTCCAGATTATCCTCTGCATCTGTATCGAATTTCATCGAAATCCGTTCAGCCGTTTAGGCTACAAACTCTAACAAACATCCATCCATCCATCTAAACTTTCGCATTTATAATATTGGTATGATTGAAAGTGTCAATGATCTTAGGAAGTTTTCATAAAACTATTACTGGTTTGCATTATACCTTGATAGGTTTTAACTCGCCTTGGGCGGCTGGCCAAGTATTGCTGCAATATTCCTTGCACCCAGAGTTTATGACCATTTGACAATAAAAATCTTACTGCTAAAGGAAACCACGGGTAGGAAGTTGCGGTTTTACGGCGTATAGTCTTTAGGATTTTGAACAATAAACGTCGTTATAGTATTTTGTAAGCGTTTTACAATTATAGAATAGCATTTTAACATAGACTTAATTTCACATCTACTAAAAGGTCTCGGATCTAATTCTGTAGTAATTACTTTGGTATGCCTTACCTTCAAATATCTTGCTACCTCGCCTTCTTTCGTCCTACGTCGTACTTTTCGTCCTACATATTTCATTGACAAGCTAACTACGGAATGCTTCATTGTCTTTGTTTCTTGTTGCTTTTCTATTTATATCCGCCTCTTAACTTTTTAAGTTCTGCTAACAATGTTTTGTGGTATTAATGAAACTTTGAGGGCCTGTCCCACCAAATTGTAAATTGTCTGATAACAATCCAACGTGTAAAATATGTAATGGAAATATTGGATCATGTTACCTTATTTGACAGTGACATCATGTTTAAGCCGTCTGATCCTCTAAGAGCCAATGGTGGGACAGGCCCTAAATCTCATAAACCTACAGAGAAATATTAGTCGTAGTATCGAACATGGTGATTTGCTATCAAACATCATACGTAATAGAAGCCTTTCAATGGAGATTCGATCATATCCGGTACACCTGACGAGAGCGACATCACGAATTGATGCCAAGAACGTATTGGCCAGTTGGAATTATCTATGTAAGGTTTTCTAAGGTTAAATTTAGACGAGTATGTTAAAGGAAGATGAATTTAGGACAAATTTCAATACATAAATCAAGTTTTTTTTTTATAACTTCAAACTTGAACGATAGTTTTAATTTCTTATTTTCTTTAGTAAAATCGCTTTGAAAACGGCTTTGACACCTTAAGCAAGTTCTAAAAGTAATAGGTTTTTTTTATAGTTATCTGTTAATGTCCAACTTCACCTTTGATACTTATTAAGGTGGGGCGTAAGCTGTTAATTTCAACGCATTTCTATGATTTACTTGATCAAGTAACGCCTATAGTAACAGACCTAGTTTTTGCCGAGAGTTATGTGGACTGCTTTCAACCGGGGAGTGGAGACCTGATAAACGAGCCGATACTAAACGAATGTGGCATTTATTTTCAAACCTATTCCGATACGTTTTTATTGCAATTTGCGAACTCGTATACGTTCATTCACATGCGAATATAGAACCATTTGAATCGAATGGAACTAATTTATATAACGGTTTTTTTTTTAGTTTTTATGGGTTTTCATAAATTTTACCTGGTGAACATAATTTCGCATATAAACTGGGTAAAATTCATTATTGTGACAGTAACATATTTAAGATAGCGAGATTCACAGAAGTTTCCAAGGTAAAATAAGGTGTAAATCTACTTTTGTTTTCGTTACAAATTGTGGAATTATTAAACAACTAGTTATTCACGTGCGACTTCATCCGCATGAAATTATGAAAATTTAAATTTGATTGATTACATGTGTCAAATTATCAATTGCAAATGTCAAAATGGCATGACATGATAACAAACAACCTTGGTTCCTTAATGTTGGCAGCTGGTACTTTATGGTCCCGTTTCCACATGAAGGTTGTTTTCGCGTTTATCTGTCCTCCAAGTTTAATAGCGTATAGATATATAGCCTACAGCGTGTCGTATGTGTAGGGCTTTTTATTAATGTAAGAGTTATTCGAGAATATGCTGTGATTGCTGATATCCTACGCCATAAAGGACGCTTTATTACGTTAGTATGTAGATATTCACGAAAAAACAATATTTAAATCTAAATATCGCCCTTACATTTCTTAATTAACATACAGCCGACGAGAAACCTTACTAAGGACTTGTTACGCCTTGTTCATTTGCATATTTTATTGCCTATTTGCTAGTTTAATGACGGATTTGTCGTAAGTACCGACGAGTGATCTAATTAATTAATAGTTTTTCCGTAGTTTAGCCACATTAAAAAAATTACGTCACGAATTCACTAAAGTTAATTGAATTTATAGCTATTTCTGATCATGGGTTTTAAAAAAATAACTTCAATGTTTTTTTCTTATCAGTGTCACTTGAAACGATATTATTGTAACGTTTAAATTCCAATCCTGTGACCACGTAATTGGATTCTAATTGCATTACACAATCTTGTACATCTCAAATTCAGCAAATGCATGTCATATGACACAATTCCTGTTAAAACCGTCAGTCTGTCGGTGGGAAGCTTTGTGTATTGTTTTGTTCGCTCACAATATAAATAACTTTTAATTTCTTGTTTTATCATTTGAATAGCATCGATTGCACAACTGATTTCAACTAAATTCAAGGTATTTTTTATTTATATGTTCATGTACTGTTTTATGTACCCTCGAAATGTGTTTAAATCACAGGTCGGTAGTTCCAAATTTTTACGGTTTAAAGTGTTAGCAACAATAGAACTTAAAACTCGGCGTTGGTTGCTTTAAATTTTTTGTATTTTTAGTCTGTGTGCAATTTTCATATATGTTTATTTTTTTGCAGTGAGATGGCGCGGGGGTGTGCGCTAACACAGCTGTCAACGGTTTGGCTTCTCCTATGTTTGCTGCCTTCAGTATGGACAACACCAGGTGTGTACTTTTTATTTATTATTAAACCTAACATATAACTGAGTTTTTTAAGAAACAACTGACGTATGCGATTTTACGTATCTACCTGCTATAACCTTTAAACACTAAAAGATTATACAGTTTTGCTCGTGACGTTGGAATTAAAATAATCTAGTAGCAAACATAGTTTATAGTACTGTTGCTTAGTGATAATTTGAAAATAGAATTAATGGGATTTTTTTTGTTTATTCGTTACATACAAAAGAATTTTCTCAAACCAACACAAATGCAGTCCGTGTTTATTTTTGTTTTCTTTCGTGTTTTGTTTGCAGCAAATAATTTGAATTTAATATTAGGAGCATGACTTTCTCTGACAGGTCGCGATAGCATCGTCTTTCAATTGTTTTTATCTGTTCAGAACAAACAACAGTATTGTACTGGCAGCATACAACTCAATGAATGAATGATTTTATTTGTAGTCACAATGACTGGTCGAGTTTTAATATTAACCCAAAATATCATAGAACAATAATGTAAGATAGATTTCAAAAGTATTTCAAAGCGACACAAAAGTTAGTGGATAAACTAAAATAGATTGAGAAATCATACTTTTCACTTGTGTAGACAAAATGTTCTTATTGGTGTTAATTTGTAATAAATAATTTTCAACCAGGCCTTAAATATCCAATGAAAAGTAAAGTTTAGCAGAAAAGAAGACATATAAATCTGTTTATAAAATTTTACTTTATAAGTCTAAAATAAGATTTTTTAAAACCATAAAGGCTTAAATCCTCAATCTAATGGATAAAACGTTCCAATATATTGTTTTTTAATAAAATTGTAAATGTAAAAATCTTAATTCTTACACTTTATATTATTACTAGAAAACATACAAACTATATAAATTACAAAAAGCTAAGTATCCCTCGGGAACCGGACATTTCTCGGGGATGGAAGCTTATCCCATGTGTACTCCAGACTTTGTTTTATATCTGTGCCAAATTTCAATAAGATATGTTGAACCGTTGCAGAAAGATCGAGTAAACATTAAAAAACTAAATTAAATAATCCCGCGGGAACCGTAACTATTCCAGGGATAAAAAGTAGCTTATGTGTTCTTTCAGACTATGCTCTAAACCTGTGCCAAATTTTATGGAGATTCGTTCCGCCGTTTAGGCTACAAACGGTAACAAACATCCATCCATCTATCCATCCATCTATCTAAACTTTCGCATTTATAATATTAGTAAGATATGAACGGAAATAAACATAGTTTAAGTCGTCGTGATTTCTGGACTTAACTATATAAAGTTAGCGGTTAATTGGCTAAGTAAACTATGAAGCAAGCCTTGATTGATTGAATTATATCGTCACTTATTCAGGCTTGTCGATACTGATCCTAATTGGTTTACTCAACTCAATTGATCGAAGAAATATATATTTCCGCAGTCCTAGTAAATTGCAGTAAATAATACAAATAGTCACTTTATTTAATGGAAGAAAGCCCAATTTAAGTCCCTTTTCCATCCAACCATTTTTCTTATAAGAAGAGGATTGTAAGGGAACGTGGATTTGACGCTACAAGAGACGCCTAGGAAAGGGAAACATCCTCTTATGTGCGTCTCCTCTTTTGTAGAGTAAGCAACGCTTTCGTTATTTCGGATGGCCATGGGCAGCGGTCGCTTTACCAATTTGGCGGATTCATGTGACCGCTTACTCGTTTGCCACCTTATAATATAAAAAATAAAAAATCGAAGGTACATCAGTAAAGTTTTTTAAAAACCCGTTTTCATAGATGGCGCTTTTTTAAATTTTATTATGTCAATAAAATTTATCGACCGTGTTACCCTAATTTTTTCCGATATAAAAATACCATTTGTGTACAATTAGTTCGAAGAATAAATATTTGTTGTATGAATTGAATCTTGTATGGACTTAAAACATTCGTTCACGCCTTTCAAGGGAATCGTTAGGAAAATAGACAACATAAACCGGGCGTATAATAATTAAGATTATCGTATAAGGCGTTTCAGTATTAATCGGGAACCCTTAATTAATGGTTTGCTGACAAATAGTTTATTAATTGAAAATTTCTCAGCCACGCCCTGTTTGTTACAAGTTAACGGCCTCGTATAGAAAAGATGTTTGAAAGTCATGGCAGAGATAAAAACAAGATTGTATACATAGTTATTAAGAAAACTGAATTCAAAACCTTGATAAAAAATAAACAGTTACTGCTGGTCGTTCAGGTGGCCGCTTGCTCGTTTGCCACCTTATGTTATAAAAAAAAAGTATGGTGATGAACCAAATGGTCTCTGATTCATAGTTCTGTTTAAAAATGCTACTATTAAATTATTCATACTAATATCATAAATGCGAAAGTTTAGATAGATAGATGTTTGTTAGAGTTTGTAGGCTTTAGGTAGGAGTTTGTAGTTGTTGTGTGTTTGAGTATGTTTGGAGTTTGTAGCCTAAACGGCAGAACAGATTTTGATGAAATTTTTATACATGTACAGAATAGTCTGGAAGAACATATAGGCCACTTGTTTTTTTTTAACGCGGACAGTATCGCGGGCGAAAGCTAGTTACATTATAATTATTACCTTGCACAAACATAGCGATATATCTCGATATGAAAATCTTGCCTGATACAAAATGTCATAGCCGATGGCCTTCGACACCATTAGCCGGTAACGTACAGCATTAGTTGCGAATCGCTATCTCTATTATGGGAAATCCTGCTTATATACTAGTTATATGTACTGATACTGTAGAGGGATATCTGAAATTACTTTAAACGAAACAACAAACATCATAACATATAGAAATATGTATATAGCGTTTTTGGACCGACTTCCCAAAAGAAGGAGGTACTCAATTCGTCTGTATGTTTTTTTTTAATTGTAAATACGTAAATATCACCATAGTATTTCGTATAAAGGCGGAGTTTATGTATTGTAAAATATTTTTTCTGTTGTTCGAATGCCATGAAAGCCAACTTTACAAATTACGAATAAATAATCGAACAAAAAAGTATTTATAATTTTCCACGTAAATTACTACTTTGTATTAACAACAAAACATCTATTAAAATGCTGTGGTTTATCAGAAAAGTACCTGTTTATCTTTATTAGTTGCAAACAACTAAAAGTCACCCTTAGCTTCCGTATTTGAAAACCAAACAGAACTTTAGTGGTAATTAAATTAAAACGTAAAGATAAGACTAAGCAATAAAACATACACAAGTGATGGTTTAATTAACATCGCTCCGTCAACACGTTTCCCCTGGGAGAGTTCATTATAGGTGGGGATTTATTGTGTATACGTTTACTGCACACCACTTCCTTATGGCTTTTACTATGAGTCAATCCATTGCCAGCTAACTATAGTGTTAACTTACTGCTCATTTTATACCTGACAGCGATTGTTGTGTTATGTGGCATTTAAAATGCAAGTTTATGTAATTCCATATTTTATGAGTAAACAAGAATGTGTTAAGGTTTTATGTAGGGTACAAAGGTAGAGGATGACTGAAAAAAGTATGGATGAATTGTGTGATAGATGGACAGTCCCCACGTACGGAATAAGCACATATGAAACGATTTTTAAATATACAAATTTTTAATTAACATTCAAATAAAAGATTTTAAAAATGATGTTGAATTTTTTTTTATACTATTAATCTTAAACCAGTATAAGCCTATCTTTTAAACTAAATAATCAAATAACAACAAAGATTGTATACCTGAAATAGTGTAGTGCAAATAGTTTTTTTTCATTATAGTTATTACATAATGCTAGAGTCAGAGTACAAATGGAGGATCTTTGTAAAGGTCCCTCCTCACTCCTGCGCATTTATCGACGCCCAATAACAGTACTTGCGATGTGTTCCGGTTTGGGTGAGATTGCCAGCATAATTACCTATTGCCGAGATAAGGATATATTATTTTAAGGTATTCGAAGCCGACGTGCGTGAAGTAATCTTGTATGATACATCGACATGTGTTTCTTATTGGTTCATTATAAGTCGATGACCAATTTCCAGTTAAGATTTAATTGATATATCTATTGATCATTTACCGCTCGATTCAACAAGTAACATGTCTGATGTGGAGGAGTTAGACGCATTGGTATTTACCTATTCTAACATGAGTCCTGTTACTGAAGTAAACCAACCCTCTCAAAGGAGTTTTCTCTAAAACCACGGAACTACTGTGGTCTCAGCAATCGAGCTATTCCTTCTAACAGTCTTCAGGTCATCGCAGCTGCTTGAGTTCATTGAATTGACTCTGCCGTACACTATAAAGGTGAATGACCTCACCTGTTTAGGTGTATACTAATTAATTGTCGCAACGCACATAAACAAATACTAACTATACTATAGTGAAGAACAATCGCATTTTGTTTACACATATTCAAAGATGAGGCTCCGACTACAAAGCAGTAGGACAGAACAATTGCTTTACAATCATTTCTCTAACGTCCCATATGAAGGCACACGCATTTCTTAGCGATCAAATGATTAATTTAAGTATCGTTTCAATTATAATTCTCGTCCAGTATAAGTTGAATAATATAAATGAGCCTGATAGTAAGTGTTTAATCTGTGACGAATTGTGTCGTTAGTTTAAAAAAAAGTTCACAAATAGACCGTTTGTTTTAAATATCGAACGTTATTTATTTCAGGACCATGCGAAGTGGAGACTGGGCAGTCAAGCATAATTGTGGATATAGAAGAAAGCAGAGGAAATAGTGAGTATAATTTTACAAGAGGTGTTGTCACTTTCTTTCGTTTTGCAGAGCGTTATCTTTGTCACAACAAAGTTACCCCTATCAGTCATATTTCCACAAGGATAAATAACACGTTGTTGCAGATGTAAACCAAAGTACAATACCAGCGGAGTTGCCGATAGTCGGCGAGCCTGATGTAGATATAGTACTATCGACGGTGTTCCCCAAGGGTCCAACGCTGTTCCAGCTCGACGGCAAGCGTTTGCAGCTTCTTCAACCACTAGACAGGGATGCGGATAATCTCTCACATATGGTATTCCAGGTTAGTACAAGGTTCATATTATCTTCAACTAATTCTCTTCAATCTGCGAAGAAATTTAAAGATGTGTATTCCACTACCCGCATTGGGCTAGTTGTGGATCCCTAAGGCACCCGTAATTTGAATAATTCTGTCGGGACTTTTATGAGCCTATATACACAAGTAGTTAATTATCATTTTAATTACGTGTAAATACCCTTTCTCTATCTTAAATAGCTTTGCAATGCAATTAATTGGTTTAATTTCTTGTAATGTAGCACTTTGATCTCTATCTTCGTAAACGCTATAATAGGGTATTAAACAAGCAGGTGTTTCGTATATTGTTTATATTGCCTGAGGCTATACGTTCGCTAAACTGTTGTACCATCGCTATATGCAAGCGGCGAAAGTATTTGATCAGTTAGCATTGGAAGGTTCGTAGCAATGTTTTGACTTACTCTAAAATCTAATTAATTATTCATATTTTTCTCTTATAATACTTATATTATGATATATGCACTCATGATATAATGTTCGTAAGATACAGGTTTCTTACCACGTCCAATCCAATCGTGGTAAGAAACCCGTATCTTACGAACATTATATTTGTAAAAACCACGACAGTTTAAAGTTATATATGCACTCATGATGTTGTTTTCGTGATTTTTTTCTTAAATTTTTCTTTAGTCCTCAATTTTATTCAGAGACGCAGTGTCTCAGTTATTTAAATCTGATGTCTTATAGTTTAATTATTGACATTACAGCTCGTATGTCAAGTGAAAGCGACGAAAAAGCGGCGGACGATACCGGTCATAGTTCGGGTATCGGATATCAACGACAACACGCCCGTCTTCCAGAACACGCCGTACGAAGCCAATGTTTCCGAGGTTAGTTTGAATAGTACGAATATATTACGATTGTTTGGGATGGGTTTTAAGCTGTTCAAATGACAATGTCTGTATTAAAAAAAAGGTAATGCCACACGAGGGTACTAAAGTACAATGATCTTACGAAAGACGGGTGTCAGCTACTTCTTATAGTCAAAGAACTAAGCGATCCTACGTTTTCTTGTAGAAAATCTATTTAAAAATCTGTACATTGAATAACCGAGTATTTAAATTTGTCTCTTGTATTTTCCACAGCTAGTACCGATCGGTACGACGATATTCGAAGGTATCCGCGCAGTTGACATTGATGCGGGTGTGAATGGTCTATCAGAATACTTTATCATACCAGGAGATAATAAAACATTGGAAGAAGCGAATGCCGTCGATGGTTACAGCTACTTTTCAATTCCTCTGCCGCATCAAGGTGTAATAACAGTCAACCGGACTTTGGATTACGAGCGAACGAAGCTTTATCTAGTCACTATTGTTGCTTCCGTAAGTAATTTTTCTACCTTTGTAATTAAGTTACAAGTACCTTTTAAGATTCTGAATAATAATCCAAAAGATATATGTATATAAGTCATTTGAATCATTTTAACTTTGTTGCCTGTATCCGTGGAGAGGAACCCCTAATGGTACTTCCAAACTTTATGATATTTTAGACCAAGATATTGGTAGCTTCCCTGGCTTTGTAGTATTTTATGAACGCCGATTATAAGTAAATATTCATACAATTATATTATTAAAAAGAAAGGGTGACTAAATACAATGTGTTTTTTATCAGGATCGCGCACGTGATACCAAACGCCGACTGTCTAGTACCACGACGATGACAATTAACGTGTTAGACGACGATGACCAGGATCCCTCTTTCATCTACCAGGGTTGCACCATGCATGATGGTGCTTGCATTAACCCTGAGTACGCCAGCTACGTAAGTCATATATTATATTTTTTTATTATTTTAAGGTGGCAAACGAATACGCCACGAACACTAACAGGTACCCACCTGAATCCACCAAAATTACGAAGCGACTGCTACCCAGAAACATCCGCAAATGCAGATGCCTTGCTTACCCTTAATTGACGAAGGAGGAGACGCACATAAAGAAGACATTTTCCCTTTCTATGCGTCTGCTCCAACGTCAAATCCACATTCCCTTTTTATCCTATTGTTATGAGAAAAAGGGGGGAAAAAGGGACTAAAATTAGGCCTCCGGCACCACACTCATCAGACGAAACGCGGATTTCATGGTTATCTTCTGTGTGGTCGTGGCACCGGGCAAGCAGACCCATTCATGTAACAATATAGTAAGAAACCTTTATGAAACATGAGCTACAGTTTTTTCCATACCTTACGTTTATATCTTTCGATTATTACAGGTGAACAGCGGAGTTCTTGCAGGCATCCTATCGATTGAACCAGAGAAGATCCAAGCGGTAGACATGGATACGCTAGAAGCTAAGATACGATATAGTATAGAAAGTGGTGAACCTGAATCCTGGGGGACTTATTTCTCAATAGATCAGAACACCGGCGCTGTAAGACAGTTACTGCCTGTTGATACTACTATCGCTAAGAGATTCCAGTTGGTTATTAAGGTAATTTTGAAATACTTTAACTATCATTTTATAATATAAGGTGGCAAACGAGCAGGCGGCCACATGAATCCACCAAAATGGAAAGCGACCACTGCCCATAAACAGATGCCTACCTTTAATCGACAAAGGAGGAGACGCACTCAAAGAGGATATTTCCCTATCCCACGTGTGTTTTTCACCGTCAAATCCCCTTTCCCTCATAAGAAAAAGGGTGGAAAAGAAAAGGGACCAGAGTTGGACTTCCGGCACCAAAAATCTCTAGTGTGTCCAAACCCGCAGTTAGTTTTCTAAACACTTTTGCTTCATTTTTGTATTTTGTACTGTGTTTGATAAAAAAAAAACTTTATTGCTTTGAATTCTCCCAAGTTTACCAACTTAATCTTCTATAATTACAGGCAGAAGAAATAACAGAAGGACGTCGTTACACGACCGCGAAACTAACAGTGACAGTACGTCCAGTGGACTCCAGCCCACCAGTGGTCAACGCCTCCTCGGAGGAGGGGCAGGTCGAAGAGAATTCCCCCAAAGGAACTAAAGTCCTCGACTTCAATAAAAAACCTATCAAATTATCTGTTTCTGATCCTGATCTGGTAAGATTTACATATCTCACTTTTATTGTATTAACTATTCCCTATGACTTGTTCCGTGCGAAAAAGATAAAGCTTACGTATTCTATAACTCCTTCCAGATTATGTTCTACTTGTGTGTCAAATTTCATCAAGATCCGTAAAGTTGTTTTGAAGATACGTAGTTACAAACATACATAGAAACTTTTGCATTTATAACAATAATATATTAATAGAAAAGTATCAAATAAGTAATCATCAAATTAGATCTTTTGTTATTCTTGGCCTGGATGTAAATTTCAACCATCAAAATGTTTTTTTTAAGCTTAATTCCTTAAACAATAGTCTTAATGTGAAGTTAATTTTAGTGTTTATATTTCCAGGGTCCTGGCGATCTTGTACCGAAATATTCATTCGAATTAACAACGCACTTCTTCGATATAGACCCTGAAGGATATCTTGTAGTCAACGATGAACATTTAGATCGAGACCCACCGAGTCCTGGCAAATTGAGATTCCAAGTAAGCTTAAATAATAATATCCACAATCCTGTTCAGATAAATCTGACAAAACTAAGTTTTACCGGGTTATTCCCAACCGTCACCCGGCTCTGTCCCCGCGTGGAGACATGAGAATAAAAAGTTTCATCCGTCCCACCTGTTGCGATAAGGCGACGGTTGGAAATTATTTTATTTTCATAACGGTTCCATCACCTTATTGGTGATAGTGGGACTAAAAGGTGGGACGGATGAAACTTTTTATTCTCACGTGGAGACAGAGCGGGGTGACGGTTGGGAATAATCAGTTTTACCTACAGATGTTAGATATCCGAAGATCAGATAAAAATGAACGTATAGAACGTGGTTTTTGCAGGAAATTAAAATGTAATATTTAAATGTACATTTCATCTACAGTGTAAAATCTTATAGAAAAGATAATCTTATCCCTAGCCTCTTAAGGTTTTATGAGCCTGCCTTATTCAATCATTTTTTAATAATCATAAATTAGTTTTTTAAACATAAATACAGCGTCACCTTTATGTGGCTACTTAAACTTCAGAATCTACGTTCTTTGGTGATTCTAAAGGTTCGGTTACACTGTAACACGCGTAGTATAAGTAAATATTCTGCAGGTGGTAGCTCGTGAAGCGAACGGCGGCGCTGCGTCCGCACCTTTATCACTTGCGGTACAACTGTTGGATGTCAACGACAACGCGCCGACTATACCAAACACGCAGCCAATCACCGTGCCTGCAAGTTTAGAACCCACTACTGTTTATAAGGTATTTTACATGAAAACGCCATTAATAGCTTGCCCTTGTCCCATGGAAGGTCGACACAGAATGTGCTGCTCCATACACTATCTGAATCCACTCCCTTCTTTAGCATATCCTCTTTCACACATTCCATACATTCTTTCTTCAGTCTTACTCTACCTTTGTAGCCATCCACATTCAATCTTAACACTTTCTTGTTTATGTCTTCATCCTCTAGCCGCATAATGTAAACCATATGAAAAACATAATATATGATAATTATTTACTTTACATTCTGGTAAATCAGACCTAAAAATCGTTCGAATGATATGGTAATGTTGATGTTAAAATATTAGATTAGTTGATAAATATAATATGAAAGTAAAGGATGAAGATTTTGTTCGAGTAATCTAAAGCTATCCAAAATCATCTCCGTCTCTTTTTATCTGTTTAATATTATATCATATTTCTCTGTCATATATCGAATCTCTAACAAGTTGGAATCTAAACTGTTATATTTATGTTCTTAAAAGCTTAATTTTTCGTATTCCAGGTAACAGCGACAGATATCGACGAAGGTGAGAACGCTCGTATTACCTACAGCATCTACCATGTGTCCAACAATGGCGGCAACAAGTTCACCATCGACCCCAACACTGGAATCATATGTAAGTATTAATCACATAGAAAGGGACTTTAAGTAACAATTTTCATCTTATGCAACACTTATAGACTTCTGCAATATTATTTTATATCTTCTTTACTCTTTACACAAAAATAAAAAACAAAAGTGAGCTTATGTGTTCTTCCAGACTATCCTCCACACCTATACTAAATTTCACCGAAATCCGTTCAGCCGTTTAGGCTACAAACTCAAACAAACATCCATCCATCCAAACTTTCGCATTTATAATATTAGTGAAAATTCCAAAAAAAAAAACATTCTGGGTTCCTACAGACTAAATACGACAAAGTTTTAATCGGCCGATAGTTTGATGAGGTCGGGTTGTCATGCTAAAATTATATAAAACAAAATACAAATATATGTTCATACTAATTTTAAGCCGACTAAACTATCGGCCGAAAAAAAGCATAGTATGTGAGAACTGCTTAATATCTCAGTTTTTCAGTGCCGATTTTCTCATATATCTTTACATGTAGTCTTTAAAACTCATTCCAGCAAGCACTGGTCGTCTACAAGCAGGCGAGCAATACAGCGTCACTATACGCGCAGTCGACGCTAAGGGACTTAGTTCTCAAGGCATAGTAGAACTTCTAGTAGCACCAGGTCCTAACACACGGCCACCGCAGTTCACCGCAAGAGATTACTATGCGCCTGTCTCAGAGGGCGCTGCGATCAATTCTACTGTCACTACTGTTACCGTAAGTTTGTTTCAGTGAAAATATATCTTTATATCGTCATCATATCAGTTAAGATTCAAGATCACTCCCTTCTTGATCATGTCACCTTTCACGCAATCTATCCATCTCTTTCTAGGTCTACCTCTACCGGTCCATTCCACGCTCACCTTTTACTCCTTAATTTCTCTACCACTAGGGTTACTTAAAATTTCTATAATTGCGAATCATACTAGGCGTTGATAAGATTTTTTTGATATAAAAACATTAGTAGATTTTTGTTAATTTGCTATATTTCTTTTGCATTTCCAACTAAGGTTTGTACGAATATGGTTTGCGACAACCGAATGGCGGGATTCGAACTCTCGACCACATGATCGGAAATCCATAACCATTAAGCTATTGGCGCTTTGTTTATTTGATTTAATAATATAAATGCATTTAGATTACATTCACGTTACGAATTAAAGTTTACCGTACAAATTGTTCGTTCTCAAACCATTCTCAATACTCTCTTAATTATAATCCGTGGTTATATTAGTTAGATATATTATCATCCACTTGCCCTTATCCCTTACGGAGGGTCGGCACAGTATGTGCTGCTCTTCCATACATCTCTATTAGCCGTCATATCTGAATTCACTCCTTTCTTAAGCATATCTTTCACACAATTCATCCATACTTTCATGGGTCTTTCTCTAGCTTTGTAGCCATCCACATTCAATCTTAACACT